GTGTCCCATCCAAGCCCTGCTCAACCTTCTCTAACAAGGAGTTATTCCTCTGTCCTCGGCAGGGAAGTGACTCCTTCAGGCCTGGGGCAAGACCTACAGTGGGGCTTTATTTTGCCTCTGCTTTGCCTGCCCAGCGTGGCAATGTTTCTGCAGGGCTGGGGGGGCTGACAGCCTTGCTGGTGCGGTGACGCCGCAGCCGTGTCCAGCTCCCGCGCTTGCCATAGCAGGGAGCTCCCACTGCCACCGGAGCTAGCGAGAGCTCTTAGTGGAAGCAGATGGGGAAGACTCGTAAAAGCCAAGGCCTGCTAACCGGGAGAGGTGAACCCCTGACCACACGTGGTCACATTGCTCCAGTGCAATGAGGTAGCACTCATCAGCTGCTCTGCAGTGCCTAACGCCACGTTCCCACGTTCTCTGCTCCTTTGCCCATGAGATAAAGTAGGCAGGAGCCTCCATGCTGCAGTGCATGGGCTGCGCTGGGAGCCCCGGTGCTCAGCCACACGCTGTGGGAGCTCCGCCAGGCCGGGCTCACAGTCCGGGCGTCCCCTCTCCTGGGCGCTGCGGTGGGAAGGACATCTTCTCTCCTCTCCTGCATGTCCCCTTCTGGAGGGGATGTTTTACCCTGACACGTGGGCTGTGCTCTCTCCACATGGAGCTGCAGTGGGGGCTGCTCCCCTGGGCTTCCCGGCCTCTGGGGCTGCCCCCTCTCTTCACCCTGCTGAAGCTGACATGTCCCGTCAGCTCGGGGACAGCTCCAGAGATACAGAGGCAAAACAGGGCTCCAGGAGGACGTGGAAAAGGATGAACCTCTGCAGTCTGGGTCCATCGCTCGGGAGGTCATGGGGATCCATAAGCTACTGAGAGTGGGGGAAGGCTGGAAGGGCAAAGGGCGGGTGGCAGTTGCAAGAGCCCAGGGGGAACGTGGGGGCTAATTCAGCACCTGATGGAGCCAGGCAGGGCTGTGAAGGGCCTCACTGAGTCTCGCTGGCATGGCAGTGGGTGGCACTGGCATGGGAGGCTCTGCGGGAAGGCCAGGCCGAGGGGCTGCTGTCTGCGTTGACCACAAGCCTCTCGCCAGGTGATGCTGGAGCAGATGCAGGGCGTAGTGAGGCTGGAGCTGTCGGGCTGCAACGACTTCACGGAGGCCGGGCTGTGGTCGAGCCTCAACGCCCGCATCACTGCGCTGAGCGTCAGCGACTGCCCCAACGTGGCCGACGACCCCATCAGCCAGCTCCTGCCCAACCTCACCGAGCTCAACCTGCAGGCCTACCACGTCACGGACACAGCGCTGGCCTACTTCACCGCCAAGCAGGGCTACACCACCCACACCCTGCGCCTCAACTCCTGCTGGGAGATCACCAACCACGGCGTGGTCAACATGGTGCACAGCCTGCCCAACCTGAGCGTCCTCAGCCTCTCGGGCTGCTCCAAGGTGACAGACGACGGCGTGGAGCTGGTGGCCGAGAACCTGCGGAAGCTGCGCAGCCTCGACCTGTCCTGGTGCCCTCGCATCACCGACATGGCCCTCGAGTACATCGCCTGCGACCTGCACAAGCTGGAGGAGCTGGTGCTGGATCGGTGAGGGGCTGCAGCAGGGTGGGAGCGTGGCCGTGGCGGTGAGGTCTTGCCTTGTCCCCCGGCACCATGCCCTGGGGATGGCAGCGAGATGGCCATGGCCTGAGCGGGACTCCACGGCTCCTTCCCTGGGCCGTGGGCCTGTGTCGGACCAGCCTGATGCCCGCTTTCCCCGGCAGGTGTGTGCGGATCACCGACACCGGCCTCAGCTACCTGTCCACCATGTCGTCCCTGCGGAGTCTGTACCTGCGCTGGTGCTGCCAGGTAGGCAGGGGGTGCGGGAGAGGAGCCCTCCCTTCCCGCAGCGCGCCTTGGCCCCCTGCTTCACCTGGAAAGCCAGAGAGCCGGCCTGGCATGTGGTGCTGTGTGGTGCTGGGAAAGGGAGGAGAGACCAGGGGTCTCATCCTGCCACCAACCCCGGCTTGGTCCCCACAAGGCTCAGCTGCCTCAGAGGTGCCAGTGGGAGTCACGCCGCTCCTGGTGGGTGCTGTTCCAGGAGCCGGGATCCCAGCCCTTTTTCTTTCCTAGGTGCAAGACTTCGGCCTGAAGCATCTCCTGAGCATGGGCAGTTTGCGCCTCTTGTCTCTTGCAGGTGAGACCCCTGCACCCCTTCGCCCTCGGCCTGGGCACCCTCACCCCTGTGCAGGGAGTGGGAGGATGGGGAGAGCCTCCACATGGGAACAGGGACAGGCCCCTGGGGACAGGCTCAAGGTGGAGCTCTGATGTCCTGTGCCACAGGTCCTGGTGGCACTCCCCGTCCCGGTGGGCTCCCAAGGGACACCGGGGCAGATACCCAGGCCGCGGGGATGGGCACCCGCAGCACGGCCACCCTGCTGACGTGCCGCGGTCTCTGCTTGCAGGCTGCCCCTTGCTGACCACGACGGGGCTCTCGGGGCTGCTGCAGCTGCAGGAGCTGGAGGAGCTGGAGCTGACCAACTGCCCCGGCGCCACCCCGGAGCTCTTCAAGTACTTCTCCCAGCACCTGCCGTGCTGCATGGTCATCGAGTAGCCGCTTCACCGCGCGCGTCGGCCTGTCCGCGGAGCCGTCTTCTCCAGCCCCAGCCCAGCACTGACCCAGCCGAGGCGCACCATCGTCTGACATCACCCACCTGATTTCTTTCTGTCTGGGGGGAGAGAGACGCAAGAGACACCGTCGATTTAAGCAACCGTGTGTAAAGCCAAATCCCTCACATCGACACATCGGACGCTGACACCAGAGAGACTCGTCGCTCCGGGAGGAGGAGGGGGACGGGACGGCCGGTGCCTGCGCCCCCTCACTGCAGCCTGATGGGGTGCTGGACATTCCCCACGTCTCCATCGTCGTCTTCGTCGTGCGCTGCCCTGCAACCCCCTCACAAATGAACAGACAAACGGACGAGCAAACTGCCAAAACCGCAAGCGGACAGAGCCGAGCAAGGGAGGAGGCGAATGCAGGGCGGGCCGGCAGCGGTGCCATCCACCGGGTCCCTGCGCTCCCGCTGCCCTAGGCGAGCTGGGCGCTGTCTGCTCAGGCAGGGAGAGGAAGAGGAGGAGGAGGAAGGATGCGTCCCAGCGGGCAGCGCTTTTCAGCCCTCAGGC